GGTCCAAGCTGCCATCCTCCCCAGCCTGAATCACTGCAATTTCCTCCTAATCTTTCGACTTCCACCCTGGCCCCTGTTCATTCTGTTCCCCACACAGTCGCCAAAGTGATCCCGTTCAAGCACATCAGATCATGTCAATCCTCCTCTCATGGCCTAGATGGCTCCTTATCTCACTCAAGGTAAGGGGCAGAGTCCATACAGTGACCCACAGCCCCTCAAAATTTTGTCCCCCACTATTTTTCTGACCTCATTTCCTTCTGTGCTTCCCTGACTCACTTCTCTCCAGCTACACTGGCCTTCCAGCCTTCTCCAGATGTCTTCATGGCTAACACCCTGACCCCCCTTCAAGTCTTTGCTAACGTGCCACCTTCTCACAATGCACACATACCCAATTCATACTCCCTACCTCTGACCGTCAACTTTTTAATATCATTTTCTAATATATTATATATCTTATTTATTACGTCTGTAATTATTATTTAAATCTGTCTCCTCTAATTAGAATGTAAGTTCTATAAGGGCAGAGATTTTTGTCTGTTTTGCTCACTGATATTCCCGTATCTAGGTGTTTAATAAATATTTTTATAAAATGAATGAATAAATTGTAACCTCCATAACTCTACCAGCCCTCAGAGTCTGTGCCTTAAGCAGGCGGTTTCCCTCCTCCTTGCACATATCTTATTTTTCAATGAATTATCACAGTGAACACACCTCCTTAACTACCATCATGTCAAGAAATAGAGAGCTCAAGTGATACCCTTTGCTTCTTATCCTTGGCATCTAGCATTACATCAGGCATCTAATAGGCATTCAATAAATGTTTGTGTAATTAATTAATTAATTAATATGATTCCAGCCATTTTTCTCAATAACTGATTCATTACTCTGCTGCCTTGGAAAGAGCCCAGCAGATTCAAAAACAAATGCATGTAACAGCACACATTGCCCTTTTGGAAACCATGAATTCACTGAATTATGCAGATTTTCCAAATGTTGACACATTTCACAACACAATATTTTTAAAGTCACATTTATTAATACTATCACCATCTCATCAGGAAAATCTTTAAGTACTGGAAAGAGAGTAAGCTTGTGATAGCAGACACATTTTCCAAAAATTCTTTCACTTGAAAGCTCTAATTGTATCATAGCAACAAAAATTATCAGTTACCCTCTTTAAGATATCGAATTCATTTCATTCATATTTGAGAAAACGTCCGACAAATGTCCATGTCTGAATAAAATAATTCTTTTGTCAGCATTTTTTCAAGTAAAATCAGTATTCCAAGAAAACAGACAGATCAGTTCATCGCTCAAACGACTGCACTGTGCTTTTCCTCAAGACAGCCCTTGTACACCCGAAGTGTTTTATGCATATTTTGCATACTTTTCATACCAAAGTGAATATTAAAAAGACTTTTACAACATGATAAAGATTACTAAAATTAAATTTTTTTTTACTGCTTTTACTGCTTCGTCAAGGATATTCTTGCATAAAACTAGGTTTTGTTTTGTTTTTTTGTTTTGAAAGTGCCTGACAATGAAGAACACGATGACTACCAGCACAGTTTGGTGTCACTGCTCTGATTCCTGCTAAGGCACCCAAAGTTTTACCCTTCATTGCCTTTGTACAATCAGTATAAATGTCGACACATGATGAGGGTTGGGGGAGACAAGCAACATCTTAGTGTTGTTATGAAAATAGTTTTGACAGCCGGCCACAGAGGCTCACACCTGTAATCCCAGCACTTTGGGAGGCCGAGGTGGGCAGATCACAAGGTCAAGAGATAGAGACCCTCCTGGCCAACATGGTGAAACCCTGTCTCTACTAAAATTAGCCAGGCATGATGGCACATGCCTCTGGTCCCAGCTACTCAGGAGGCTGAGGCAGAAGGATTGCTTGAACCCAGGAGGTGGAGATTGCAGTGAGCCGAGATTGTGCCACTGCACTCCAGCCTGGCGACAGAGCAAGACTCCATCTCAAAAAAAAAAAAATAGTTTTGACCTCACGACTTATCTCAGGACCCCCTAGGAGTCCACAGACCATACTTCGAGAACTACTGGTTTTCGACATTGCAACCATTCATTTACATTAGAATAAATTAAAAATTTTTTCCCAAGAATGTAAAGAAGTCACTGCATATATAATTTTTAACATTCTTATTTCACAGTTAAAGCAATCTTGAAAAAGATTATTAGAACAGAACAAAGTTAGTGGACTCAAACCTTTTTGAAACTTTTCCATTTCAAAAGTTTCTACAAAGCTTCAGTAATCAAAACAGTGTGGTACTGGCATAGATATATGCATATATATTATAGAACTGAGAGGCCAGGAATAAACTCTAACATTTCATTTTCACAAAGGGGCCAAGGCAATTCCACAGGGAAAGAATTGTTTTTTCAAAAACTAATGCTAGACAGCTGAATATTCACATGCAAAAGAATGAAGTTGGACCCTACCTCAGCCATACACAAAAATTAACTTAAACTACATGAAAAAAATTTAACTAAAACAAGGGGCCTAAATGTAGAAACAAAATAGAACTACAACAATCTTAGAAGAACATGCAGGAGTAAATCTTTATGATCTTGGGTTAGTTAGTAATTTCTTAGACAAGACACCAAAGGCAAAAGGGATTAAAAAGATTGATAAGCTGTACTTCATTAAAATTAAAAACTTTTGTGCTTAAAAATACACATCAAGGAAAAAAGACAACCCACAGACTTGGAGAAAATATTTCCAAATCGTATGTCTTATAACAAATTTGTATGCAGAATAAATAAAGGACACTTACACCTCAATAATAAAAAGATAAATAAACCAATTTCAAAATTAGCAAATCATTTGAATATACATTTTGTCAAAGAAGATATGTGAACGACAAGTAAGCACATGAAAAGAAACTCAACATCATTTATCATTAGTGAAATGCAAATCAAAACCACAATGAGATATCATTTTACACCCATTAAAATAGTGATTTTTTTAAAAATATATTGAAATGATGTAGAGAAATTAGAACCTTTGTACATTGTTGGTGGAAATATAAATTGATATAGCCACTTTGGAAAACAGTTTAGAAGTTTCTCAAAATGTTAAATATAGATATTTCATATCATACCATATGATCAAGCAATTCCACTCTTAGGTATAAACCCAATTGAAATAAGAACATATGTACACATAAAGATTTGTACATAAATGTTCATAGAAACATTATTCTATAATAGCTAAAAAGGACAAAAAACCCAAATGTCCATCAGCTGAAGAATGGATAAGTAAAATGTGCTGTACCCATGTGATTATTTGGCAATAAAAAGGAATAAAGTATTGACACACGTTACAGTATATCATGTAGATGAAATTCAAAAGCATTATGCAAAGAGAATGAAGTCATTCACAAAAGACCACATAATGTATGGTTTCATTAATAAGAAATGTCCAGAATAGGAAAATCCATAGAGACAGAAAGTAGATTACAGGTTGCCTAAAAAGAGTGAATGCTAATGGATACAAGGCTTCCTCAGGGATGATGAAAATGTTCTAGAATTAGATTATGGAGTTGGCTGCACAACTCTGCAAATATTCTAAAATCCATTGACTCTGTAAACTCTAAATGGGTGACCTTTATAATGTGTAAATTAGATCTCATAAAGTTGTTAGAAGTCAACATAAATGGAAGAACCATTCCCATAAAAACAAACAAAATTATCAATGTTTCCTTTAAGAATGTTTCAGTAGGTGTAGTTAATTAAAATTTAACTTTTTTAAGTCTGCACTAAAATTACCAAAACCAGTAGCAGGTTACCTCATTGCTCTTACTGAAAATGATTAACCTTTAATACACTTGTAATATCTGCGAAAAAGAAACCGAGAGGTCTCAGCAGTACTCCCTTCTGAGGTCATATGATTCCTACAGAAGTAACCACTAGGTTTGAGGCCATCAGGGTGTTAACTATAGAGTAGTTGGTTCAATACCCAACAGGCTGACAGCACATCTGACCATATGTATTATAATGGAGACCACATCCTCAGCTCAAAAAAAGAGCTGAACTCATTTCTAATAGAAAGCACACTGCATACTGTTCCTCCAGGAACTGAGGTTGATTCTTTTTAGAGTGAGACATGACCCAACATTAGAACAAAAATGATTCCCATTTATTTTCTCAGCTGAACGTGTTCAGAAGAAAGGAAGGAAGGCAGGAAGGGAGGGAGACAGGGAAACTCAGAGACACTTTCAGTAAAGTTGTGAAACTAGACAATCAAACGCACTCTCAGAGGGCTGGAAAGGGCCAAAAGCCCCTACCCCTGCAGCCCACGTCCCCACACCTGCCACAGATCAGGCAGGAGCACAATAAACACTCCCCACGAAGTGGAGAAAGAAAATCCAGGCTGGAGCCTCTATGTAAATAAATCTCCCTCCTGTCCTCAGCTTGCACTCGGCCTACTAATTCTTGTATAACCCAAGGAGACTAGAAAGAAATTGGACCACATTGCCATGTATGCACCCATGCAACAATCCTGCATGTTCTTTACACGTACCCCAGAACCTAAAATACAACAAAATATAAAATATATATATATATAATTGCAAAAAAAAAGAAAGAAATTTGATTGGTGACCAATTTTAAGGACTTTTTTTAAAGCTCTAATTTAAGTCTAAAAGAGTTTCCAGTCATGAATACTGCAGATAATATTGCAGATGATGAAAGCATCTTCAAAATCTTAAGACATTTTACAGTCTCCCCTGGTGTCCTCTGATGGCAACAAGGTCCCTTGCCCTACTCCCACCTGGTATAATTCCAGTGCCCCTCTCAGCAGCCCTATAAAGGAACATGTGCCTGCTGGCAGTGAACCATCATCCACCGTTCTCACTTACTTGTGTTTGGTTTCCTAATGCTAAACTTTGAAATTTGGAAGAAAAAAAAAGAAAGAAAGAAAGGAAACCACATCCTTTTTACTCTCAATATAAAGATAGAGGCAGTTAAGAACTGAAAACAGATTTTCAGGTCGATTGATGTGGGACAGCAGCCACAATGAGGAACTCCTACAGATTTCTGGCATCCTGTCTCTCAGTTTTTGTTTTTCTCCTGCTAATTCCTGGAGGTAAGACTGATTATTCTCATTTCTATTATGACTATGAAGCAAAATAGAACAGACTTTCAATGAACTTTTGGTAATATTACTTTCTTATACTGAAAGATGTTTTCCCCCAATCCTTAAAATGTTTAGCCAGGCACAGTGGCACATGCCTGTAGTCCCAGGTACTAGGAAGGCTGAGGTAGACGGATCACTTGAACACAGGAGTTTGAGACCAGGCTGGGCAACATAGTGAGACCCTGACTCTATCTAAAAACAAAAAAAAAAAATAGCATTCTTTCTTGGATTTTAAATGTTTCTTTATTTTAGAAGAAAAACAAATTTTCTTCTTATAATCTTTTGCAAAAGATAGTCAAACCACCAATGTTTATCGTTGCCAATTTGTAACTTGAAAGTTGACAAAAAGGACAATGTAAAAATGAGCAAACAAAACTCTCTTGAGTTAGTAAAACAAATAGTAGCTTCCAGGAGAGGAATACTGGTACCTTAGTCAGCTCAGCCTTTTCTGCAGAAGAAAATGCATAGTTTAAAGACAATTAAGACAAATCTGACCCAGACACCAAAAGTGAATCAGGAATTATTAGAATTTTTACACTTACTTCTCTGGTCTAGAGACTCTTTGGGAATACATTAAGACACTGGGCCAGTTCCCTAGTTAACCCTTTGGGAACGCTATAGTATTTTTTATTAAGCTAATCCCTTTGTCTACCAAATGGGAACCAATATTTCTGCTTTCGTGCGAGTTGCACGTGCATGGGTTAAAACGTTGTACAATTCGTGGTATTACCACTGAAAGGGTGACAGCTCTTGGGGAGCTCTAGATTTCCCTTAAAGACCCTACTAGGAAGTGAGGACTACTCTGGAGCTGTGGCAATGTAGAGCCAGCCATGCTTTTTCCCAGGATTCATCAGCTTCTGGAGGCAGGGACTTATATAATAACCTTCCTTGCCAGGAATTCCCAAAGAACTCTGATTTATTGTGCACCTAAAAATGAGAAGAAATTTAAAAATCACAAGGCTGCAGGACAAAGGTTGGCTATGTTATAAGCAGGGCATAGTATGACTATATTCAGGCATGTTAAATCCTAAGTAAAAAAGAAAACAGGATAGATGAATCCAGCCATACCTTTTCTTCAAAGGAAACCACAAAAGCAGCCTGTTGTGCTCCTCTTTCTTCCTGTGTTCAGAGAGAGCAGTGTGGGCCCATACAGGGAACAGACACAGCAAAGCAAGGCACAGTTGAAATCTATCTGTTCATGAGTCACCCTAGGAAAACTGGGATTGGGTGAAGTTCTCTTGTTTCTATAAGTGCTTTACCCTCTTATTTCTACAGCCCAGAATTTCCTCCTCCCAGTTCCCTTTTTAAAAGCAGAGACCTCTGCTTTTTCAAATCACACTAGCCACATTTCACCTCGTTGCTCTTACCCTCGTCGAATCTTATGAAAGGTATCTATAGCTGTCATTAACACTTTCCTGTGAATTTGGCAATGACTTAGTCCCAATTATGGAACAATAGGCATGGTGCCCTATTCAAGAAACCATGAGTCTCAGCAAAAGTATTTTGGGAGAATCCAAGAACATCTGGTGCAGGAGGTGGAGAGCTCAGAGTGTATCACTAGGACATAAGGTTCTCTCGATCAGCATGTATGGTTTGCCCTGTGTTCAGTTCTCACTGTTCCCTAACAATGGGTCTCTACTTCTAGATCATCAACAAGGCAATGTCACTTAGGCAAAATTCTCTGCATATAGTATCTTCTCTCCTCTCTTCCCTACCTCATTGGGAAAGACCTTAGATTAAACCACATGGTTTGGTCTAGAGACTGAAGGGGAGGTGCAATTGATGTTATTTTCTTAACTTATGAGTGAGAACAGTGCAGTTTAATAACCAAAATTCCCATAGTGAGGGTCACAGCTAAACAATGCTAATATCAGTTCATAAGCTGTGTTTTTGCAATAGCTTAGGGTTAAAAGAGAAGGTATGAGGCTTCTAAAAGTCTTATCTACTTCCCCCAAATTAACACTTAGCCAAAAGGAGTGGGAGCACTCAAGGTTCTCACTATCACTGGCATCTCCTGCAGCAACTGTTGATGTTAAAGACCAAGGCAGAACTTTCTGCCCTGGGCCTAAGGTTGCTGGTTTGTGACATCCAGCCTAATGATACTGTAACAGTCAATTGCCTGGCTTCTGTGGGTGGAAGAGCTCTTCCAGGACCCCAGAGTCCAACACAAATAGGATTTGCATCAGATATCTGTGGTCTACATAGAGCAAAAACTGGGGGAAATGTTCTCATTCAGACTTCGTCTCTGAGTGCAAAAAGCATGGGTGGTCTTAGAAACGTGGCTTTGTGTAGAGTTCTTTGTGGGCACCAATCTGATTTGTCTTCTCCCATTGAACAGATGTCTGTGAAAAAATTACTGGAGGAAAGGAAGTCACTCCTCATTCAAGACCCTACATGGTCCTACTTCAGCTGAACAAAAACAACATCTGTTGTGGGGCTTTGATTGAAAAAGACTGGGTGTTGACTGCAGCTCACTGTAACTTGTAAGTGCCTGAGTTTTTAAAAAAATGTTTGTGAAGATACTCTAATTTGGGGAAGCATTAATAAAAGGAGTAGGCATTGGCTCACGCCTGTAATTCCAACACTTTGGGAGGCTGAGGCAGGTGGATCACATGAGGTCAGGAGTTCGAGACTAGCCTGGCCAACATGGTGAAACCCTGTCTCTACTATACAAAATTAGCCGGGCATGGTGGCACATGCCTATAATCTCAGCTACTTTGGAGGCTGAGGCAGGAGAATTGTTTGAACCTGGGAGGTGGAGGTTGCAGTGAGCCAAGATTGTATCACTGCACTTTAGCCTGGGCGACAAGAGTGAGACTCCATCTCAAAATAAAATAAGAGTAGATCTCATTAAAGCCAATGGAGATTCACATGTATTTTCACATCATTTAAGTCTTTTAGCACTTGCTTTTGTCTAAAAGGAAGTCAAGCCCAGACTTGCCACAAAGAATCAGGCTATGAGGTAGCAGCAACCACAAGCTCTTTCTGTGGTCTCAGTCTCCACTGAGCCACTGGGTACAGGTGCTGCAGAGCTTTACTTCTGTCATGGCTGTGTGACCAGGTAGAATTAGCATCAATGTGGAAGGGTGAAATTTTCAGTGCTCCCTCAGAGCCCTGGGTGCAACCATCAAGTGCAGGAAACTTGTGTTGAACGCCTTCCTGTATCTCTCTGTGAATTCCTCTCACATCTTCAGTCATCTCTATGCTCCTGTCAACCATGACATTCAAACCTCTTCCCAGGTCTGGCCTTTTCCCACTCTCTAAATCAAGACTCTAAACCTGGGCCATTCAATATGATAGCCTCCAGCTACATGTGGCTATGTAAATTCAAATCAATTAAAGTTAAATAAAATCTTAAATTTAGTTCCTCAATCACACTAGTCACATTTCAAGTTCTCAGTAGCCACATGTGGCTAGTGTAGATTCATAGAACATTTAATCAGCGACCCCTGAGCAGTGTTCTCTGTGCTGAGTGGGGGGACTGAGCTGCTGAGTTAGAGTCAACATAGGTGAGCGACAAGGTGCTGGGACAACCAATGGAAAAGAAAAGACATCTGGTATAAATGATGGACAGAAGAAAGTTCAAGAGGAATTTGGCATTGACATGGATGCACCAGAGATAGAATGTGCAGCAGTGGTCATTCAGTCTCAGTTCAGAAAATTCCAGAAGAAAAAGGCTGGGTCTCAGTCCTAGTGGAAGAGCAATCTGTTTTCCCGCTTGAGTTTGTTGTTTTCTTTAAACGATCCCTTCAATGCCTTACTTTACAACTATTGGCTACTTTTTGCTTCTGTCTCTGGACTACTGAAGTCTTTGCTTTCCAGCAATTCTCCATCACAGCTAAATAAGACAGGGGTAGAGGGGCAGACAAGCACAAGACCTGGCTTTGCTGCCATGAAATTCTCTTATTTGTTTTCCAATGAACCTAGTTTAGCTTTTTATAAATAAGCTAGTGATGATGATGAAGATGAATTCATAAACCTTCTTTTATTCATAAACATTATTTTATTCTTTAGAGCATACATTTTCTATCTGAGCCACAAAGAAGTCTCCTCACCTCCGTATTTACAAATGGGACAGTGAAACTGATCAGCACATATGCTCAACTGCTAATACAAAGAATAAATCCAGTAAATAATGTTGTGTCTGTTTTCAGGAGCAAAAGGTCCCAAGTCATTCTTGGGGCTCACTCAATAGCCAAGAAAGAGCCAGAAAAACAGATAATGTTTGTTAAGAAAGCAGTTTCCTATCCATGCTATGATTCAACCACACACAAAGGTGATCTTCAACTAGTACAGGTACGTATCTTTGCCTTCTCAAAAGTCATAGACCCTCCTACAACCTGGCCACTGATGTGAAAACCTTTCCTTGTACCCCTTTTGTAAAAACTTACATAAAGGGGATCCTGAAAATTTGGACTAGAATTTAAGTTAAAATGTAAATATTTATCTTATCCTATTAACACTTCATGTTTTTCTTCCAACAGCTGATGAAAAAAGCAACAATTAACAAATATGTGACTACCCTTCATCTACCTAAAAAGGGGGATGACGTGAAACCAGGAACCATGTGCCAAGTTGCAGGGTGGGGGAAGATTAACAGTATGTCTTCTCGGTCCGATACTCTGAGAGAAGTCAATATCACCATCATTGACAGAAAAATCTGCAATGATCCAAAGCACTATAATTCTAAACCTGTAATTGGAAAAAATATGGTTTGTGCCGGAAGCCACCGAGGTGGGAAAGACACGTGCCGTGTAAGTAAAATAAGATCCCACATTTTAGCTCTTGAAGTATAGAAAAATGTAATGTCATGCTTTGTCGTGTCATGGCACTGGCTTCTACAGGATCCTAGTGCTTTTTGAAATAAGTTTAATAAAACCCCAGTCAAGTAATGAATGTGCCCAGCTCAAGTAAGTCATTAATCAAAATTAAGAAGTTCACTGCTAGGGCATGAATTGAACTTCTATGCATTTTTTATTTTATACAAAAATTACCAAGAAGCAATGTTTTGTCTCATTCTTCATATTAACATATGTAGATCTAATGTTGAAGATACGCAACACTTAGAAGAGCTGAAGTCAAGGTTTCTCAAGGGCATTCAGTGTTCTTTCCCCGTTTCAGTACATTCCCTCTCATTCCCCGCCACATTCCTCTGCCATTTGACCTAGACACATCTGACATGTCTGTCATTTACGAGCCTGGCTGAAGACCTCCAGCCAGACCCCATAGTTTCCTAGAGCTTAGTTTAATCCCCACCAAACAACTTCAAAGCGTAACTCACACCAGAGAATGTGTAAGCTTCCATCCTAGAACCCACTGAGAAGGGGTAGGACAGGGCCATGCTTAAAGACGAGAATAGAAGAAACATTTTACAGATTTTTAAACTGAGTACTAGCTTGCACTTCTCATTTGTCCCAAAGACCTTACAGAGTCTTACCTGAACAGGGGTGTGCCATATGCATGGTTTGGGAGGTACCAGAGATTGAGAAATCCAAAGTTCTCTCCTTCTCTCAATCTATGCCTTGCCTTCAGAACCAAAGCTAGCCAAATCCCAGGAAAAGACACCTATCTTTAGTACCTGTCTACTTTCTCTTCTCTGCCCTAGTTCACCCATTCCCTCCCTTGTCCACCACCCTGGCTCCCAGGAACCCAGAGCCTTCATGCTTTTGGAACCCACATGCAGCATCCTAAGGCCACGGCAGCATCCCAAGACACTAGTCCCCATCTCAGCAGCCACCCGCCACCACTGAAGCTTGGCAATCCTTCCCTGTCCTCTCAAAACCCTGGAATTTTGCTATTGATGAATTAAACCTAAAGGACTAGTTCTGCAAATACCAGTTACTGTAACGCAGGGGAAACATTCCTGTTCAGGGAATATTTTCAACATGGTGAATTTAGTAGATAGTTATCAGCCCACAGTCACTTCTTTATTTTATATATTCATAAGGCCAACATTTGCCTGAAAGGGACTGATTTGGTTTCGTGTCTTTGAGAAGGCAATTATCTACTGGAAGAACCAGAAAACATGGTTTTTGTTCTTTGCCTCAATGTACCATCTGCATTTGACTATTTTGCCCCTTGAGTTATTAAGCATTTTAAGAAAATGACAAATAAACAGAAGACTTTCCTTTCCAAAAGCAGAACAACAGTCTCAAAAATTAGCTGATACTATATACAAGTTTCATTTCCATTTTCACTGGCTTATAAATAAACCAAGTGAGCCAATTCAAAAGTATTATAATATTTCCAAACATTTTAATTTTTAAGCACTACCTTCAATTAAGTCCAGGTTGGTCTTAACTCCATATTAAATACTGCAGAATTTCTTCCATTTCACTAGTGGTAACGCTCAACACCTGACTCCACTCCCGCCCCTCCTGTTTTCCTCCAGGGAGATTCTGGGAGCCCTTTGCTGTGCGGGGGTGTTTTCCGAGGTGTCACTTCCTTTGGCCCTACGAAATGCGGAGACCCTCGAAGGCCTGGTGTCTATATCCTTCTCTCACAGAAATATCTCAACTGGATAACTAGGACTGTCAAGGGGGCAGTTTAAATGACTGTTTCATTTCACTTACTGTGGCTTCTTAATCTTTTCACAAATAAAATCAATTTGCATGACCGTACCTGTTTCTCTCCTGTAACCTTAATGGGCACATCTGCACCAGCAAAGTGAAGCAGAGTTACACGGCAAGCCTGTGGATAATGCAAGGGGGAGGGGTTAGGTGATCAGTGTCACCAGAGTCATTTGTGCCTCAAGTGACATGGGAGTGCTTCCTGAATTATTCATCTCACTATCTCAGTGAAATCCTACAAGAATGACCCTAAGATCAGGTCTAGTAACAAATGCAGTAAAGGGCACCAGAAACAGCCAGTCTGGAACATTTGTGTTAAAAGGAAATATAGGGCATTGTTCCACATTAGCACCTGTGTTTCATGTTATACACAAGAACCTGAGTCTATGGGACAAACAGCAACAAGCAAGGCCTTACAGTATTTTCCAAATTCTAGGGCATACAAATAAAATGCTTCGGCAGCCAAGAATATTATACAATAGCAAGTCAGCCTTCTTTCTCAGTACCTGCATTTAAGCCTTGGATTACCTAGGTGATTTCTCAGTTCTCTTTGTTCTTGAGACTGGGTAGATCCAATCAACATGGTGGTTACAGTGGCTGCCATCCCATAGTAGGGAGTAAATGTTGACTTGTGTCCAGAAAGTTTTCTTTGGAAAAAGCCTTCATAATATCTTTTCAACATAGTGAATCTGGTAGATAGTTATCAGCCAACAATCACTTCAAGATGTGATAATGTGAACAAATTCTTTCAATTTCCATAGTCTCTTTAGTAATATAAATTTTATAGATGTATATTATTTATTATGCAATATGAATTTTAATATATACATATATTACATATGTATATATATGCATACACACACACACATATATATACATATACACACACATATATACATGCATAATACATATTCAAATCAATAACATAGGAGACAGGTTCTTAAAACAAAGTAAGGAGCATTGCTTAAAGACGGGCTAAAATAATAGTACATTGGTTTTCAACCATGCCAGTTCATTAGGCTCATCAAGCTCTTTAAAATTATCAATGCCCAGGTCCCACCTCTAGAGATCCAGATTTAACTGGCATTTGGTGGGACCCAAGATGTAGTATTCTTTATATGAATTCCCCCAATGATTTCATATGCAGCCAAGGATAAGAACTCTTATTCTAGAAAAAGAGACCTGGTGCAACTACATAAAAAGAGGCTCCGAGAGAGTAACTACCATGATATTTTAAATACTTGCTATAATCCCTCATTGTTAGTTCAGATTTTAACTGCAAAAGGGATGGACTATTCCCTACCGTCAATATGTATTACAGATTTTCAACTCTGTTTAAAAAGTGGTTGAATGGAACTCTCATTGATTGCTGGTAGAAGTATAAACTAGTACAACTTCATAGGAAAATTGGCAGTGTCTATTAAAACTCAACATGTATATAAACGTATGACCCAGCAATTCCACTCCTGGGTAGATCCCAAACAGATATGAGCACTTTTATCCATCAAAGATGTGTTCGGAAATGTACATAGCAGTTTTATTTTTGGAAGCCAAAACTTGAAATAACTCAAATATCCACACACAATAAAATGGATAAAGAACTGTTATGCAGTCATACAATAAAATATTACACAGCAATGAAAAAAGAACAACTTCAGTTACACGCAACACAAATTTAATGATGAGGAAAAGTGAGATAAAAAAGAATATACGTGATGTGATTCCATTGATCTGAAAGTTAGCATAGGAAAAACTAATCCACGGAGATAGCAGTCAGAAAAATGTAGACCTGAGCAGGGCACGGTGGCTCATACCTGTAATTCCAGCACTTTGGGAGGCCAAGGCAGGTGGATCACAAGGTCAAGAGTTCAAGACCAGCCTAAACAATAAGGTGAAACCCCATCTCTACTAAAACTACAAAAAATTAGCCGGGCATGGTGGCATGCGTGTAATCCCAGCTACTCAGGAGGCTGAGGCAGGAGAATTAGGAAAACTGCTTGAACCTGGGAGGCAGAGGTTGCAGTGAGCCGAGATTGTGCCACTGCACTTTAGCCTGGGTGACAGAGCAAGACTCCATCTCAAAAAAAAGCAAAAAAAAAAAAAAAGAAAAGAAAAATGTAGACCTGCTAAGTAGAAGTAGGCATAAGGAATCCCTTTAGGGTACTAGAGATGTTCATATCTTGATCTAGATGGTGGTTACACAGTTATTTATTCATAAATTTAAAACTCATCAAGCTATAAACTTAAGACTTATATGCTTTACTATATGTGAATTAATACACAAAAAAAATTTTAATTATAAAATTTAAAAATAAATTGTAGCCCAGGCTTTTGCTTTGTATGTTATCTGAAAGCTTACCTTTTTCTTTATGAAAACCATATTCCAAACTTTCCAACAAATCTAATCGTACTAACAGATATATTAATACTTTTCTTAAATGAGAGCCTCTTGTTCACATGCCAGTATTGATTGAGAGAAGTGGCCTTTGGTCATGACACAGTGTCATGAGAGTATTAAAACAGAAGTATCCAGAACAGAATGACATGGGACACTGGAAATGGTCTAATCATTTCACTCATTTTCTTCTAAATATTTTCTTACAGTTTATGCCTGGCTTATTAAGAAGATCAAATTAAAAAGAAGAGTGTGCATTGCAGACAAGTATCACATCTGTGGCTTTCAGTGGCCTAAAATTTTCTAAGGCAAGAATTACTAACATTATCAAACAGATCTAAATTTTAAAAACAGGGAAAATTTAAAAATATATTGACAAATTAACACCAATTTAACAGAAGAGTCCTAAACTGCCCTGGTACATACTAGTCTATGTTTTAATTCTCAAAATTTTTGTTTTGTTGTAGCAATGTTGGGGGCATAGGGAGTGGGTATGTATTAGTTTAAAAAAAAATCATGTCAGAGCAAAAAAAATAATCAACCAATATTTGTTATCTGGCATATGCAGAACATTCTTAAGAGCACCAAAAAGTACAACACAGGCTCCCTAAAGGCCTCAATTTTAACTCCTCAGGATGTCAAAACCAAAATAACCAAAGATTCAAATAGTAATAAAAGACTTTTTTTAACAACTATAATAGTTTAATAATACTAAATAGATGACATGGACAAATGCCAAGAACTCAAACCCAGGTAACATCATTTTGAAACACTTCCTGGAGAGGTCAGAACTTGTGTGGGTGTGCAAAGGAAAAGGAGAGAGAAGCAAGGATTCAGATGAGAAGAAAAGCTCCAATGAGGCAAGAAATCACGAGACTGAGCCAAAGTCTTCATATAGTGATCAGTTCGAAGGAACCTTAGCAGTGATCAGATCCAAATTCCCATCCTTGCAGATGCTGCAACACATCCGAGGTTACAGGGTGTATTGGCAGAGCGAAGGCAAGAACAGATCTCCTAACTCCGGGTCCTGGGCTCCAGTCTCCAGAAGCCAAAGGTGTTTGGTAACAGGGTGTCATTGAGGGCTTATGAGCAGGGGACCAAGAGGATCGTGCAGGACTTTAAGATGTTTAATCTAGCAGTAGTGTGGAGTCAGGAGGAGACTCAAGAGAATCAGTTCTAAGCAGACTGGCTGTCAGGCACTCAGGATGTGACTAAGTGAAGCAAAAGAAGAAAGAGTAAAGTGTGAACCGAGGAAGCCCAGAGCAGAATAATCAGGAGGATCCCTGAGTGGGAGACCAGGACAAGGATGAGACCATCAGGAGGGGAAAGGAATTCCTACAGAACTGATTTTTAGAGAAAGTAATATGCATGCTTAACATGCCACCTAGCATACACGTTAATAAACGTTTTTTAAGGGAACAAGTTATGTTTTCAATGTGTTGAGATTAAGCTAAAGAGAGGAAAGAATCTCAAAAGGGAACTATCCCAAGGAAATCAGAACTATGAGGTTTGGAGCTGGGGAGAAAAGTCAGATGGGAAAGAAGTAGAAATCTTTGCTGTAGACGTTATTTCAAATAAAGTAGTGAAAATGAATCTCTAGAAAGGGGTAAGAAGGGGAGGAAGGGGGCAGAAAGAGGAAAGCAGAGAAGAAAAGAAGTCAATCTCTGTGAAGCAGAGCAAATAGAGCAATCTAAGAAAGAAGAACAGGAGAATAGGCATTCACATCAAGAAGAGTATTTCACTTGTTTGATACTCATAAAAACCCCATGGAGAAGGCATGGCCAACATCATCATCTTCACTTAGAAATGAGGAAACTGAAATCTAGAGGGGCTGGGTACTAGTAGCAACTCCATACAGAGGCCGTCCCATCAGCCGCAGCAGAAAACACCCGGGTCTGGTCTGGACTCAAAGCCAGGTGCAGCACTCTGCCCCTGTGGCCTGGGGGAAAAGGAAAGACAGTTCATACTCCATGTTACATGGGCTGCTGCTCAGGACTGTAGGCAACGTAAGGTGGGACCATGAGTCCCATCTCAGAATAAAGGACTTTCCTATACCCACCAGGTTCAGAGCTGGCACCAACTGAGCCATGATGGGAGACAGCAGTCAGGGCTGACTGGGACAGTTTTCCCCCTCAGTGCTCTTGCCCCTGTATCAGTGTCCTGTGGCTGCCATAACAAATTACCACCAATGGGATGGCTTAAAACAACAGAAATTGATTCTCACGATTCTGGAGATGGGAATTCTGAAACCATGGGGTCACAGGGGCTATGCTCCCTAGGGATTCTCTCGGGAGGATTCTGTGCCTTGCAGCTATTGGCAGTCCTGGATTTATGGCCACATCACTCCAGACTCTGCCTCTGTGGCCATGTCATCTCCTCTTCTGTGAGTCTCTTCTCTGTGTGTCTCTCACAAGGATACTTGTCATTGGATTTAGGGCCACTGGATAATCCAGGTTGATTTTATGGCAAGATACTTAATGACATCTCCAAATGCAGCTTTTCCAAATAGGTCCCATTCTGAGGTTCCAGAGAGTTAGCATGGATGTTCTTTAGGAGATCATTTATCAACCAATCACACCCTTCGTACTCTATACTGTTGTTAGTTCTGTCTTCTCTAATCCACCCATTCCTAAGAATGCCAGTACTATATTCTTGC